AAAACGGCTGAGTTACGCTACTGCTTTTGTATGTATTGTGCTAGTAGTAACCGGAAAATTTACCCATTCAATGCATGTTAAATATAAAATCAGATTACCAAATTAGTAGCAATAAGTATAAGTTACTTCATCATTATGCAGTTACCTAGCCTATATGCATATTAAATGCAGTTATATTGCTCTATATAAGATAAGACCATTGTTATACATAAAGCAGTTATTATATGTTAGGTAGGTACTGTTATGATGCGTCATACAGTCTGCCAATATAATTTTAACGGATTACCCTATTATTAAACTGCTCTACATCTGGCTAAGGTTAACGGTAGAAAATTGATCACACGATTGTTCATAAAAAATATAAGCAACTAGTAAAACAACTACCTACAACATAAGTATTTATATCACATGAATATTTATAGATCGAATTCAATTCAAATCGTTTCTCCACTTTGCCGCTTAGTAGGTATGTTAATCATGCAATGTCACGCTGTTAAAAACACGATTACGTGCTAAATGCATTATGAATCAGTTTTTTCTAATTTTCATTCATACAATCCATTCATAAGACCGTCATAATAGTCAACTTAGCATAACAACTAATAATACAGTTCATTTATTGAATTGATTGAACTCTCTTATAAAAACTATGACCAAATGATCTAGTATTTTACTAGAGAGAAAAAAAACGTTATATCCGATACTATTTGCTGTGAATCATGTTAATTAGGTATTTAAAGACTTATAGTAGGGGAACCCAAGCGGGGATTTTTGAATTTACTTGAGCATTGCAGATTAACATAAAAGGGGCAAACTTGCACCTTGTGAAGACTCCCACCATACTCTATGTAGGTCCGAACGTCCGGGGCAGCAAAAAATTCAACAAATGACCATGACTTTTCGTCGCTTCCAAATCGTCAGTCTATTGAAAAGAAGCTACTGGATTTCCCTTTTGAAGAGAAGATTCACGTTACGGTTCTGAGGACGGAAAAACTATTGATCTGCCGGTTTGCATGGTGTGAGGGTGCAGTACCAAGGGGGTAGAATAAGAGAAAAAATATTGGAGCGCGTCAGACATTGAGAAGGGATGTTACGTGAATCCTCCAGTGGCTCCTATTTAAAAAAACTGATTATTTGACCGTGACCAAAAGTCATGGCTGTTTGTTGAAACAAACATTTGCTGCTCTAGATGTTCGGCTCTATATAGAGGGCTCAGGTATGGTTGGAGTAGGTACTTCAGAAGTTGTAAGATTGCCCCCTTATGTTAATCTACCGTGCTCGCGTTAATCCAAAACTCCCGCTTGAAAAAAACACTTGGGCTCCCCTACCCTTAATTTTAAAACTCCCAAAGAATGGCACGCTTTATGTTTGTCAGTTTTTGGTTATTTCACTTTTTTTTATAATGTAACTAACGAACTAAATAGAATTCTGTTTACTTTACCCCGTCACCACCCTATTATATACAGCATATTTTGACACTTGATTGATACCAAAACCCCCTAGCATGAGCACCGCGATATGATATACAATGCGTTTTTATCACGGTCAATTGTCAAATTACTATGGAGTTTGACAGTTACACGCGATAAAAACGTGATATAATGTAAATTGCAGTGCTCATGCTACTGGGGCAGGGTAATCTAAACTTATAGCTAAGGACTTCCCGTTGACATAGAATGCTGAAAGGCAAGAAGCAATGTTATGAATCTACAAAATATTTGAATTCGAATTAATCCAAAAACAAACAAATGTACTGTTCGAAACTCTATTCGCTTGATGAAGCAACCATTTACATAAATACTTTGTACGGAACATTCGGTATGAGAGTCTGACTCGCACTTGACCGTTTTTTTATACAGTAAAATGATTTTGTTTGTTACCCTTAATTTTCCACTAGTTATGAATAGATTTTGATGATTCGTTTAAGGTTATCGAGTCATTTCATCCTTCCCAATTTAGCTCAAAGTTAGTACTTACTAGAAAGCAAGCTGTAATTTGGTATACGTACATACATATGAGTATAATTAAATAAAAAGTATAGGAGTGACCATCAAAAACATAAATTAATAGTCTTGTTAGTGTTAAAAAATAAGATTAAGCCTAGCTTTTATTTAAAAAACTTCCTTTTTTAACAACCACATAGGTTATAGTTTGTTTGGATATAGTTATATTTTCTTTATGGTTATAGTTATATTTATATTTTCTTTATATACATTTTCAGTATGTTAGCCTACCGACTTAAAATGTAATTAGCCAAACGGCCTTGCTTGGAAGACGTTAATAATACATTTATTTAACGTATCAAGAATAGTTAGACTTACTCAATCCTATACTCGTAGCTACCGTTTTCAACTCCCATAACCTTAACGGTATGTTTGTATATTCAAGGTTTATTCTACTTTTATTTAATGCATTTAACTTTTTATAATACATACTAGTTTTTGAAGTTCTCTTCCACTGCTGGTCTGGAAGTTGCTACTCTTTTTCTCGTGCATATACGAAAAGTCTCTCAACAGACCGTACAACCACATGCATAAATACCTATGTGGTAGGTAGATACAACTTCAGAAACTTCTTTAGGAGTTGTGCTGGTAACCCTGTTTTTATTTATTCATAAATCATTTTATTTTATTTATGTGTTAATAATATAAAATACGTATTTTATTTTTTTTGTGTATACCTAAGCATGTGCAACCAAACAATGAACACTGCTAAGTAATGAACGTTGCGATATTTAACGTGTATATGCTTAACGAAAAAAGTATCACTTCTTTGACCAAGGTACTTGTTGATTATAGTTTTTTCCCCCTGAAATCAGGATTATTCTGGATACGTAACTAAATAGTTACGTATCCAGAACAAAACAAAAAACGTAAATTAGACCATAATTACTCGTATCTAAACTAAATAAGCCCAATTCAAAATTGGAACCTTAGCAATTTATGCTTATTAATTATGAAGTAATTTATATATTCATCATTTCCGTCTTCCTGGCGTTATGTACGTGTTTAGTCGCCAAGATTAATGGCGACTGCGATTAAATTTGGCCTTTCCGTTTCATCGAGTGCATTAAAATAAAATAATAATATGTATTAAAATATAAATTGATAAATAATTCAAGAGCTTCCCCGTGTTTTGGAAGACTTGGTTTCAGTTGAATATATCCATATTACTAAATAGTTACGTATCCAGAACAAAACAAAAAACGTAAATTAGACCATAATTACTCGTATCTAAACTAAATAAGCCCAATTCAAAATTGGAACCTTAGCAATTTATGCTTATTAATTATGAAGTAATTTATATATTCATCATTTCCGTCTTCCTGGCGTTATGTACGTGTTTAGTCGCCAAGATTAATGGCGACAGCGATTAAATTTGGCCTTTCCGTTTCATCGAGTGCATTAAAATAAAATAATAATATGTATTAAAATATAAATTGATAAATAATTCAAGAGCTTCCCCGTGTTTTGGAAGACTTGGTTTCAGTTGAATATGGATTCGTTAGCATTAACACCCACCAATACGCACTGTGCCCGCTTGGTGGGCTCATGCATGACCTGTTCTATTCTCCCTATCAATTCTATAGGTATGACCCCGACAGTGGTGAAATTAGTACCCTGACGATGTTAAATTATCTAGGCTTTATTCACAATAGGCTAGTTGACCCTTTTTGGAAAAAGGTTTTAAATGGTTAATAAATGTTCTATTACACCGAAAAAAAATGTATTGTATTTTTTTGAGACCTAGAAAGCTACAAATCTTTAATTTTAAAATAGAATTTTCATGGACATACAAAAACGCTGTCGGCCATTTTAGTCTATAGATTGTCTATGCTATGATGTCAACTGTAGTAAACAAAAACTCGTAAGCACGTAGAAAATAACATCTGAGTTTATAATAAAAAGAACATGATTTCTAATAAATACCACGAAAAATTAAGTAATTATCACTATTGTATTGTACGAGAATATAAAAACACATCCTTGAAGACTCCAGGAATGTTGTGGATTAAAGTGCCGAAAGAAATTAACCTACGCAACTTTATTACACTTATTCATATGTTGTATCAGTTTTATGTTTATTACTACATTGTAATACTAAATGCACTGTACTTACATACTTAGATGCCTTGTCGTGCAAAAAATTCACCAACCATCAATGCGTCAATTCATTGCAGATTTGTGCTTTATGCTTTCACAAAGCCGGCATCCATAATTAGTTTTGTCAAAAAAAACAGTAAATGGAAACTTTTCTAAAGTTAAAAGTGTTTTAAGATAAATTTATTCAGACTAAAGGATCCACCCACAATAACACGCGAATGACATTTAGTTGTTTACTACAACAAGAGACGTCACAATCATGGCAGATGTGGCAAACAGCGTTTTTAGTGTTCAAAAAATATAGACTAAAAAATATTTTTTTAAAATTAAATTTCTACAGCAATCTTTTCCTTTTTGAAGTGAAATCGATATATTTAGGTTCCTTAGACCAAATACTTTAAGAAATAAACGTTTATTTAATACATTTCGACATGAGTCAACTAGCCTATTAATATGCTGCACTTTTAAAAAAACCGGACAAGCGCGAGTAGGACTCGCCCACCGAGTATTACGTGCAAAATTGTAAGTTATCACAGAACACAAAGATTTTTATAAGGGCCTTGTGGGCGGGGTAGGCGCGCCACAGTTATATGTGAGCAATTGCACATTACTTGACCAAAACTTGGTTCTAATTGCGTCGTTGCTCTCGGATGTGAGCGCTGATTGGTTCGATTGTTTGATGTCGCGTCGTTTGACTATTATCTATTAGATGGAAGTGCAGGGGGGCGAGCCGGCGACATAGGTCTCCGTACAAACGGTTTACGATCACCCTTCTCTCGGTCCAAAAGAAATTTGGTAAAGAAGGATACTGCTCTACACTGGCTATGTTAGCTCCCCTTGTTCCAAATCTATCACCGGGTTGTCCATGTCAACATTATGATTGCCAGGTGGACAATTATGGTGATCGGATCAAAATCCGATCACCATAATTATCTGGTCTGTTAGTCTGTCTGGTTAATCCAGTAGTGCTATTCTAGAACAAACTCACATTTTACCGCGGAATTCGCCTTCGCCTTCGTGTATTTGAAATTCGCGTTCTATAATTTACCGACTTGAAAAAAAAGTGACTGGGTTAGAAAAGCACTAGTACAGGTTACGGCTGCTGCACTAAAACACTACTTATTCTTGTTTCCAGTATTCATAATACCGCAGCGATGGGTGATGGCGATCATGGGCTTCCTGGCTGTGGCTAATGCGTACACTATGCGCGTTTGCCTCAACATAGCGATTACGCAGATGGTGCGCCGGCGGCACCGCGCAGTCGGCGTCGACGACGGTGCCTGCCCGGGTGAAGTGGACGAGATCGCTCATGAAACGGCTGTGAGTCTAAGCATTTCTAGATATATTCATCATCATCAGCCTATTAATATTCTCACTGCTGGTGCCTTCCCTATGAATGAAATAGGGAGATTGGGCCACGACCCACCACGCGGGCCTAGGGCGCATTATTGAGTGCTAACGACTGCAGATGCAGCCGGGACCAACGTCTTAACATGCCTTCGAAGCACGGAAGGAGCTCGTGATTGTAAATTTGTGGTCACCCATCTAATGTCCGACCACCGCAAAAGTTGCTTAACTTTAACGATCGCAGCCGAACCCGCTAACCACTTAAATATATTAGACACACCAAAAGGGTCAGCGATCAAAAATACTCATTGCCTTAATTTCGACCACTGTGAAGTAACACTACTTCTTGGTGGTATTGTGTTTTTGTTGGTGAGTACAGTTCCAGGACTCGACGGCCACGAGTTCGAATTATAGTTACGCACGGGAGTAATCTACTTACTACTAAAGCGGTAGGTAATAAACTCTAGTCTCGCAAGCGCTTATTTATCATTAATATGCATTAGTCAAGGAATATTAGTGGCCACTTACCATCTGGCGACCCACAGCTTATTTGCCACATTTTTACAGAATAAAGGCATCGCTCCTAACGGCTATCAAATGGGTAGCCATAGACATTTTTTTTATGTTGAGCTACGCCGGGCTTCTGTGATAATGAGATAAGATTTATAATAAACTATAACCTTCTGTAACTTTTACACTTAAAATTCAATGCTTTACCACGTTAGTACTAAGTCTAAATATTTTTTATACCAGGATATAAGCGGTTTCGATTGGAGCGAAGAGACCCAAGGCATAATCCTGAGCTCATTCTACTATGGCTACATTGTAACTCACCTACCTGGAGGGATGCTGGCCGAGCGATTTGGTGGAAAATACTCTTTAGGATTCGGAGTGCTAAGCACGGCATTCTTCACTTTACTCACGCCTTGGACTGTCCATGTGGGAGGAGCTACTGGGCTTATTGTGCTCAGGGTTTTGGAGGGACTCGGCGAAGTAAGTTAATTTTTTCATAATTTTCAGTTTAATAGATTGGTAAGAAATTAATATTATTTTTCGCGATGCGGGTTTGTTGACGCTAGTTTTTGCCGGCGGCTTCGCTCGCATTGAATTTGATTTTGAGTGAATAAATTAAACTCAGTACATATAGAAACTACAAAATTGCTTGTATAGTTAAAGGATTAATGTTGCCATCTTGGTGCTCCATACAAACTGTGAACCCATGTTTTACCTCTTTAGGGGGTGAATGTTGGAAAATCCTTTCTTAGTGCACGCCTACATCATAATAGTAATAGCTATGTGTGCCAAGTTTCAGCGCATCCGTTACTGCTCCGGATTGCCTTTTATATAAACAGAACACTAGTTTGTTTGTAAGAAGTTGTAATCTCTGGAGCTACTGAACCGATTGTTTTTTTTAATCAGTAGAAATTTTCATTATTCCACGCTATAAGCACGATATTGGCGTCAATTCTGGCGTGATTCTTTAAACTTAAAACTTAATTTAAGATCAGTCTCTTCTTTTCATTCTGTACAGAGGATACACTGTTGTCAAATTTAGTTTTAGGTTTAGAGAAACATGCCAGAATCGACACCATAAGCTACTTAAATTTAATCGCGATAAAATAAATTGCACCCGTGCAAAGCCGCAGCGGGTCGCTAGTACTAAGTAGGTAATAGATAAAGCTCTGCCTACCTACTAGACTTTTTTAATTAACTAATTAATTTAAAAAAATTAAACAGTAAATAAGTATATATTTTAAATGTAAAGAAAAGTTTTACTAGAAAAAAAAACCACGCGGACCAGGCAGCGGACGGGACTGCTCCGCGTGGATTTTTTTCTAGTAAAACTTTTCTTTAGATTTAAAACATCTAACAGTAAAATGCTTAAAAAAAAATAAAAACCAGTATATATTTTTTCCATCAGGGTACCACATTTCCAGCTCTAAATGCTTTGCTAGCACGATGGGCGCCGGTCTCTGAGAGGGGGAGAATGGGATCATTGGTTTTTGGCGGCGCGCAGATTGGCAATATAGCAGGCACCTACTTATCCGGTCTCGTGATGAAGGAAACCGGAGAATGGCAATCGGTATTCTACCTCTTTGGTTCCATCGGCATTCTTTGGTTCATACTATGGGTAAGCTTTCGTTAGTTTAGTATACATACTTATCACTGTTTGTTATTAACAACCATGAATGCAAATTTGCAACTAATATGTAGTTGTAAACTTGTTGTATCGTGTCTTCGCTATCATAAATGATGATTGTAAAGTTAGCGCAAACAAAATTTTGATGTGCGCGGGGTTTCACTACTTGACGAAAACTGCGTTTAATAGGGACGATGGATGACTAACTTTTATTTTTCGGCTATCAGATAGATTATCAAAAAGTATTATTTTTTATTTATTCACATTATCAAAACATTACAGAGATTATTTACTCCCAGAGATATATTGATTTGAAACGTCGCATGTCGTCACGTTTTGGTGATTTTTTTACGTAGAAGTAAGAAGTTACAGCGCCACTCCCAAATTTTGACGCGTTTTATCTATGTCACTCTCTGAATAAGGAAACCTATATGTCAAAAAACTATATGTCATTGCAACAGTTCCATAGGTTTCCTTATTCAGAGATGTCACTTTTTGGTTGATTGACAAAAGAAAAAATAAGTGTCTGTCTATTATTTTTAAATGATCTAACTGACGGTTCGAATTTCGTTTAATATACCCCGTCATCATCCGTTGACTAACTGCGCTCGTTGCTAAGTTCACAACCGCCATTAAGTATGCATCGCTATACTTATCAAGAATTTTTACAGGCGATACTTTGTTACAACGACCCCGAATCTCACCCGTTCATATCGGACAAGGAAAAGAAATATCTGGAAGAAGCTTTGGGCAGGAACCGAAGCAACCAACCGTCATCTATACCCTGGAAGGCAATTTTCATGTCAGTTCCGCTATGGGCCCTGGTATGCGCTCAGGTACCTACCCAATTATTTATTAATTTTCATCATGTTAACATTCGAATACAAGCTTACAATATGTCATACCGGTAGTATTTTTAGTAGGTACCTTCATAGCATTGAGTTCTTTTCGACAGCAAACTTATTCATCAATAAAATACTAACAGTACAAAAGTTTACTAACAGCTGTTTCACACCAATAAAATAATATTTGTTTTTTCGGTGATGATATATCATCTACCTATACAGCCTCATTGTCCCCATTGGAACCCCAACGGTAGGGTTTTAGTTCATACACAAACGTAAAGAAGACAGTGGGGTCGCCAGTATTTTGATTACAATAGTTTTTAAGTCACCATGTTACTAGCCCTTATTACAAAACGTTGGGCGAAATTAATCCCGATTTAAAACGATGCTGTCACCTTTGTTTGCGGAAGAGAAGACAGAGACAACATAATGTTTAAACTAAGCCAACATTCGCCACGTTTTGTAATAAAGCTAGTCCTCTGAAACTACGCGAGACTGAGACTAAAATAAAAACAGAATGCACCAAATACGTTGACGAGCTTAAAGAACCTTATCATCATCAGATCGGCCACGACTACGGCTACTTCACCATGGTGACCGACCTGCCCAAGTATATGACGGGCGTGTTGAAGTTTGACATTCACCGCACGGGCACGCTGGCGGCGCTGCCGTACGCCGTCATGTGGGTCAGCTCTATCATCTTTGGCTGGATGTGCGATAAGATCGTCAAGAGGAAATGGCTCACCGTCACCAATGCTAGGAAGACGTTCACTACCATTGGTAAATAATACTTCTCTATTTCATTTGAGGATTTGGATGGAACAAATATTAGCGCCATCGGTCTGCGAAGAAGAAGGATGGATAACCAAAATTTACTGTCTCGAACTCCTTCGTGCTTCAGAAGGTAGGTTAAGCTCTTAGTACCAGCTGCATTTGCAGTCTTTAAAACCCACCAATCCACACTGGGCTCGCGTCGTGGGTTATGTTCCGATCTCCCTATCCCATCAATGGATATGGATCCATAGAGAAATATGAGGTGGCGGGTCATGGCCCGGTCTCCCTATTCTCTCCATAGGGAAGGTATGCTCCCCAGTAGTGAGGACATATTGATGATGTTAACCGACCTGCCAAAGGACATGACGGGAGTGTTGAAGTTCGACATCCACCGCACGGGCACGCTGGCGGCGCTGCCGTACGCCGTCATGTGGGTCAGCTCCATCATCTTCGGCTGCATGTGCGACAAGATCGTCAAGAGGAAATGGCTCACCGTCACCAATGCTAGGAAAACGTTAACTACCATTGGTTAAATAATAAGGTTAGTGATACAAATAAGGCCTACCTAATTTCAAACACTCATATCATGATAAATTATTCGAAAAAGGTGATAAGTAAAAGCAAGCCATTATTCCTTGGTTCATAAATTTCAAGTAATTAAGGAAACATACTACAATCTATTATCAGAAATCACTTAAAAAGAGCTAATTCTGTAACTGAAGCGTTAGGCCTTTTAAAAACATAGATAGATAGATAATTCTTTATTGTACACACCACATTATAAATACAAAATTAGGACACTTATTTAAAAAGGCGGACAATTGGCGGTCGAATAGCTATGTAGCCATTTCTTCCAGACAGCCATAGGATGGAGAGACAAAATGCAATTAAAGACATAGTGACTTAACAACGCTTATGTACTTAAATTATAGGAATATTGTTATTTAAGTATAAATTATATTAAAATAATTGTATTTCTGAGCCCTTAATCAAGTGTTTCCATGGGATCCTTGAACAACATTCTAATTTATTTTACTAAATATTTTGCTTAAATTGTTAGTGAAATTTGAAGCCGCATATTAACTAGAGATAAAGAATAATATAAAAAAAACATATCCATACAAACAAAAATTAGCAAATTAACATATCTTCTCGTAAATATTATTAAATATTGGAAATTGTATATATTTTGATAGATATATTTGATAAAAATAAGGTCTTTTATAAAAGTAGATTTTATTTAGTACATTATACTTCATAAAGTAGTATTTAATTCTCATATTCTAAAAAGTTAAATTTTAAGTCAAGGTCAACTTTTTGATTAGTTATATTGTGATCCGTATACATTACATGAAAAAAAACTTCAAAAATTAACGTATTAAAATTCGTTAAAGATAACGACAAATTAATAACGCGCTATGAAAAGCTCGTCGTTCACAAAGTACCACCACTACTGACGCTATGAGCTCGATCGGACCGCTCGTGCACAGTTTGCAGAGTTGTAGAACTGTCATCTATGCGTGTGTAAATTATTTTTGATGTAAACATATTTTAATAGACTTCTCTGCACTATAGGCCTTATTTCAGCATAGGCCTTATTTGTATGAGGTATCTTACTATTCATCGTCTATTTCATTTGAGGACATCGATGAAGCAATGGATAGCACGTCTGGTCTACGATTGTTTTTTTTTTTTTTTTTTTTTTTTTTTTTATACCACTAAGGTAGCAAGCATGCGGCCCGCCTGATGGTAAGCGGTTACCGCAGCCTATAGACGCAACACCAGAGGTGTTACTTCCGCGTTGCCGACCCTGCAAAAACCTTTTTATACCTTTCTTGAAGAACCCCATACTGTAGTCTCTAGGGAACACCGATACAGGAAGCTCGTTCCACAACCTCAGCGTGCGTGGGAGAAAGTGCCTCTGAAAGCGCACTGTACGCGACCAGTGTGGTTCCAAAGTATGTGGATGAACTCCCTGCCGATGACGAGCGGTGCGATGGTAAAATGACGCCGTCGGCATCATGTCAAACAATTCTTCTGAACACATCCCATTGTACAAGCGGTAGAACACACATAAAGATGCAAAGTCTCTTCTAAGACTTAAGGGTTCTATACCGCTTGTAAGCCTGGAATCATCAATAATCCTCGCAGCGCGTCTTTGAACCGAATCAAAAGGTGCAAGTTGGTATTCGGGTGCTCCGGCCCAAAGGTGGCAGCAGTACTCCATGTGAGGACGAATCTGTGACTTATATAGCAACAGTCTATGCTGTGCAGTGAAATACTGCTTCGCCCTGTTGAGGACGCCGAGCTTTTTAGATGCCAACTTGACCTTATCCTCTAAGTGAGTTCGGAACTGCACGTCACTGGAGATGTCGACACCAAGGATCCCAATGCTTTTAGTAATATTAAGAGATGTGTTCAGAAATTTAGGGACTACAGTAAAAGGGGTTTTCTTAGCGGTGAACGCGCAAACTTGTGTCTTCAAAGGGTTAAATTGAACCAGGTTACTATCACCCCACTCGGAGACTCTGGTCAAAATGCTCTCGACTTCAGACACAAGTATTTCACGATTTTCTTCCACCTTGGAACGAGGGATATTAGCGCGGCCGGAATAGCAGGTGTCCCCAGTACTGTCATCTGCATAACAATGAACACCGTCAATTGACAGCATATCATTGATATGCAGTAGAAATAAAGTAGGGGACAACACCGAGCCTTGCGGGACGCCAGCATTAATTTCCATGCTATTGGAGCAACTACCATCAACTACGGCTTTTATGCGTCGGTTGGAAAGAAAGCTAGCAACCCATTCGCATAGACCCTCGGGCAGTCCGTATGAAGGTAACTTCGATAGAAGACTACGATGCCAGACCCGGTCGAACGCCTTCGCTATATCAAGACTTACAGCCAGTGCCTCACCTTGACTCTCAACGGCTTCAGCCCATCGGTGCGTTAGATACACTAGAAGGTCACCAGTTGAGCGACCGTGACGGAAATCGTATTGGCGGTCACTGATAAGTTCGTGCTCTTCTAGGTATCTAAGGAGCTGTGAATTAATCACTCGCTCCATAACCTTGGAGAGAAGGGAGGTGATAGCTATTGGCCTGTAATTCGACGGGTCGGATCTGTCGCCCTTTTTTGGCACAGGGTGCACATGGGCCATCTTCCACGAAGTTGGAACTTTCCTAGAGGCGTAAGAAATCGCGAAAAGGCGCGTTAATACTGGACACAATTCAGGGGCACACCGCTTGAGCACCACCGCAGGAATGCCGTCTGGTCCACTCGACTTCTGAATATCAAGAGAGAGTAATTCCCGCCGGACTCCACGTTGAGTAAAAGTAATATCCGGCATGGAATAACCACACCACGGGATATTAGGTGGTTCGGCGCCTCCGTCATTCATTGTCGAGTTTGAGGCAAAGAGATTACCCAATAGATCGGCTTTCTCCTTTGCGCTGTGGACCAGGTTACCATCAGACCCACGGAGGGGTGGTAATGACGACTGACAAAAATTCCCTTCTGCAGCTTTTGCAAGCGACCAGAATGCTCGACTTCCAGCAGGATGTTTAGCGAGCCGCTCGCCAACTCTGCTAACAAAATCGAATTTTGCCTTGGCAATCGCTCGTTTACTGGATCTTGAAACAGCATTAAATTTCCGTTTTACATCAGAGATGTTGTTATCCTTGTTGGTACGAGCCGTAGTCCAAGCCTCATACGGAGTCTGCTTAGCCAGAAAAGTTTCTCTGCAAGACAGATTAAACCACGGCCGTTTCTTTGTCCCCTGCGCAACTAATGGGTTTGGTATGAAACATTCCATACCAGCTAGAATCGCCTCAGTCACGGCAGCAGCGCAGGGTTCAGGATCATCTGATGTGAAACAGAGCTGTCTCCATGGGTACGATGCGTAAAATTCACGCAGTCCATCCCAGTCTGCTGATTTATAGTGCCAGACGCGTCGCCGTCCAGTTTCACGGAGTGATGTTTTCTGCGTACATGGCACTTGGGTCCGGATAAGACAGTGGTCTGATGAGCCGAGAGGCGCATCCACTGAAATACAATAGCCATCCGGATGTGTAGTCAGCAGTAGATCCAGTAAAGAGCTCGTATGGTCCTCTATGTCCGGTATTCTCGTAGGAGAATGTACCAGCTGAGAGAGTCCATAGGCCAAAGCAAAATTATGAGCAGATCTACCCGCAAAGTCAGTGGTCTTAGAGCTAAGCCAGTCACTGTGATGGGCATTGAAATCGCCCAAAATCACTAACTCCGCAGATGGGTACTGCTCAAGAGCTCTGTCTGTCGCCATTCGCAGGTGGTCAAACATGCGTGTTGTGTCCATGTCACCGCTGTGAGACCTGTAGAGGCAAGCGTAGATTCGGATGTGGCCGTCGTAATCCACACGTACCAATAAGATTGACAGGTCTCTGTCTTCAAGGCCATTAAGGCGGCGACAACAAATATCATCCCGGACATACATACAAACTCCGGCACGCCGTACAAAATTATGCTCGAATTTGTAACCGGGGTAGTGTAAGTAGGATGTGTCGGCCGGGCTGGATATTTGTGTCTCCGTAAGGAATAACAGGGCCGGCTGCGCAGATTCCAGATGCTGATGGACTGCGTTGATGTTGGAATGAAGTCCTCTGATGTTGCAAAAGTCCACTTTAAATGTGGAAGAGGATGCCGCTGAGTATCTCTTATTCCTTTTTGTTCTGGCCATAATTATAAGAAAAGTGTGAAAGGTAGAAAGAAATCACTAAGCCATCAACATAAGAGACAATTGTGCTATTACTTCGCAAGAGAGTAAGACGAGTTATGTGGAAAGGGCCCCCGGTCCACACCTGTTACAGCAGTCGGGTCCACTCCGGTCTCCTCCTCCGGCACGACTACTGCTTCAGGGACTTTACACAAACTGGCGGTTCAGCCTCCCAGGGCGGAGATTACGTGATCCCTGGGTTCGGGAACCCGTTCAGCTTGCGGGCGGCCAGCGGTCAGCCGTTTCACCGGGTCTCCCTGACCGCCGTGCCAATACGCCACGCTTGTTCCACTCAAAAGCGATTTGAGATTTCACGGGTCTCTCTGTTGACGGCTCAGCATCTCCTTTGAAGAGCTCTGGTAACCAGGCTCACCTGCAGGAACACATCACGAGGTGATATTTGGCTGCAGACTTCTGCCAGGTGGAGGTATTTCGCCAGTCGGGCAGCTCAGTTTGGAGTAGTACTCAGCCCTACCTCTCTTCCGAGTGTCACTCGTTTGGCACCACCCAGGGGTCACGTGTAGGGTCTCTAGGGTAAACCTACGGACGCGAGTGACTTCAACCCCCAAACATGTGGAAGCAATTTTCGCCTATGTACCTTTGTTTACCAAAAAGCTACTCCGTGCTTCGCTAGGTACCTACGGTATTTCCGGCTGCATCTACAGTCGTCAGAACCCACCAAACCACCGAGCCCGCGTGGTAGATCTTGGCCCGATCTCCCCATTCCTGTAGTAAATTAAACTTGTCTATTTAATTTTTTTCATAGAGGAGCTCGATAGAACAGTGGTTATCCCGTCGGGCCTGACATTGTAAAAGGTAAGCAAACTTTGAAGGATGGATGACCATCTTGAGCTCAGAAGCCACATTTAAACCCTTGTTCCCTGCTGAACCTGCAGTCGTTAGAACCCATCAAACCCTACTGGGTCTGTGTGTTGGGTCATGGCCCGGTCTTTCTATATTATCCATAGAAAATGTCTGTACCTTAGCAGTGTGCACATTCACACTCAGGGCCGGATTTAGGATTGTGGAGGCCCCGGGCCACTTAGGATTTGTATTCTTGCTAACCCATCGAAATGTTGTTATTTTTTAAGCCGTTGTGGAGGCCCCTGGGCCACAGCCCCACCTGCCCTGCCTTAAATTCGGCCCTGCGGGCAAGTACCACCCCACTCAGCCATTAAGCGATTGGGATACTCTAGGGTTGCCAACCGTCCTGTTTTCCCAGGACATCTCCTAGTTTTTGTAGTGTCCTGGGGCGTCCTGAATAGATTTTAAGCAGCGTCCTGGGTTTTTAAATTTATAAACTTCGTGCGCCTCTTCTCAATTTTTTACGCTACATGTGATTATTTTAATTACTTGAATTTCATTTCGCCTGTTTTCACTAGATATTTATTTAACTATCGCAACTCTATTAATGCGTCCTGTTTAAAAAACGGAATTGTCCTGGTTTTTCCAACTTCAAATCCTGGTTTTTTAAATTTGAGGTTGGCAACCCTAGGCTACTCCCTCAAGATGGGTAGTGAATTGGAAGTGCTTATCTGGGCCATTTGAGATTTTGATATTTCGCTGATTGCCTGATTGGAGTGAACAAATACAGATCAATGATTTCTGTTATCAAATAATCATGTATGTTAGATGTACAGAGTACTGTAGGCTGTAGGTAAAGGTAAAAGAGCAAAAAAAAATATCAAAGGAAAAGATGTTTACTAGTTGGAATTTGAATGATTTTTTTTCCGAAGTCTCTATTGTGGGGGCCCCCCGTTTGTGGAGACCCCGGGGCTTTCGCCCCGGTTGCCCTCCCCTAAATCCGGCAGTGTTCCCGCTGGTGACCGACTTGCTCAGGTAATACTCCAATATCTTTCGTTTATTAAGGCGCTCGATGGAGCAGTTGTTAGCGTAGAAATTAAGCAACTTTAAAAGATCGACGATCAAAATTTACTATCTCGAGCTCCTCCATGCCTCGAAAGGCACGTTAAGCTTCTGGTCCCGGTTGCATCTGCAGTAGTTAGAATCCCCCAATTTACACTCAATGACCCAATCTAGCATGAAATTGACGACTCCCTAGAAAGGGACAAAGCGATGGTGCAACTTTGATCTATACGAACTATTGGACGCATGATCGTTAAGTCTCTCTCTCACTAAGGTATCTACTAGGGAATGTTAGTTCATCCCCTATGTCAATGGCCAGTCCGTAGTCCAAACCCTAAACATCTTATGTTTATTTTGCAGCATCTGTCGGGCCAGGCATTTGCATGATCCTGGCTTCGTACTCCGGCTGTAACACTGAATCTGTGGTGATCCTGTTCACCACATCGATGGGGTTGATGGGCGCCTTTTACCCCGGCATGAAGGTCAACGCTTTGGACCTGAGCGGAAACTTCGCGGGAACTATAATGGCGATCGTGAACGGCATAGGAGCCATCACTGGGATCATTGCGCCTTTCTTAGTGGGACTGTTGACGCCTGATGTGAGTATTTTTCATTTCAATGCATAGCGAGGAGGAGGCGCAATTGATTAGCGCGTAAGGTCTATCGTGGAAGTTAAGCAACTTACGCAATGACCGGTCATTAGACGGGTGGTCAAAAATATAATATCATGAGTTCTTCTGTGCTTTGGAAGGCACTTTAAGCCGTTGGTCCCGGCTGCGACTGCAGTTGTTAGCATCCGCCAATCCGCTAAATCTTGCACACATCTTCACATCAATAGATCTGTACAAATAGTTGAGCTTGGTCAATCTAATACATAAAATTCTCGTGTCACGGTGAGCGTTATATTGAACTACTCCGAAACGGCTCGACCGATTTTCGTCAAATTTTATATGCATATTCTGTAGGTCTGAGAATCGGATAACATCTATTATTCATCTCCCTAAATGTTAAGGGTGCTCCACCCTTCATTTCTTTTTATGGACATTTTTTTTAGTTTTTATTTTTATTTTTTTATGATACTTCATCCAAAAATATATACAACCCTTAATTTTCACCCTTCTACCACCAACCCCTATTTTTTATGGCGGTACGAAGTTCGCTGGGACAGCTAGTAAATATATAATATTAATAAATCAAATCTATATCATAATCCTACTTGCGTATGGCTACTCCCCTCACCCTCCCTCCCCTTCAGGTCACTTCCGTGTTGCTCTATAATATCAATACATAGCTTGTCAAAAACTATTAAAATTAATTACATTATTTACATTTCAACTTCATTATTTTCAGAGTACTTTAGTACAATGGCGCCTGGTCTTCTGGATAGCTCTGGCTGTATTCATCGTGACGAACTTAGTTTTCGTTGCTTGGGCATCTGGCGATGAACAGTGGTGGAATAACACCACGGAGGACCCCAAGAAGCAGCAAGAAGTAGAAGCGTCGAACCGTTCTGTCAACGCAGAAGTCAAACTGTAGATATCCAGAACTACGCATTGTGGTTTTGTACGAAATGATTAAAGTTCAGGTCACATTGGAAGCCAAGCTATACTAAGCTTGTCTTTGGCATTGCTCATTATCACTTCGATTTCGCAATAAGGCGAAGAATACAAGTGTGAAAAAGGGCAAAACAGGACTTCAGGATATTTTTTTTATCCTCTGCCAAAACTAATACGTCTGATATCGTATTATGCGGACAAATAAAAGAGTTGTGTTTATTTGTCTTATATACTTATTCATTTTGACTTTTTAATAGACCGATACTTTTATCCGAGAATTTAAAGGGCTAGAGCCTAGTTTAATTTCGCTTCGCTGTCAATGTGGCATGTGCATTTCTCTGCGAACGAACAATGCGTGATGAATTGTGTTGTCGTGAATATATACTCACTCAGGTTGATTGTAGTATGGCATAATATTCCAACAGTGAATATTTCTAAGTTGAGTTTAGAAAAAGTTGCTCTACCGAACCGATCGTCTCTTTCTGAACTGGATCAAAAGAATAGGTTAGAAAGAGATAAAAGCTTTTACGAAAGTGTCTTTCTAAACCCAGATTACTGCGCGCTGTAACAGACATTTGATGGAGTGCTTTAATAATACAGTCTTACGGGGCAAGCTTCGACTTTATTTGTAGTACAAAATTTTCACAAAAATATTCAGTGTTTATGTTTAGATTATAATATTGGCGATTCAATGAATCCACAGCCAGTGCTTTGTGATAGTAATATTACGGATTCGTGTACTTCTCGCGAGTTAACTGTAACTTAAGTAACGTTAATTGTATATTTATTTTCATAATTTATGATACCTAAAACGTAGCAAACAGTTAAGTGATCGAATTTAAGTATATTCATGAGAATATACGTAAGCATGAGCTTACACTCATGTTGAGGACTGTGTACATTACAAATAAGTTTTTCTAATAAAAGTATTATACATAAAAACAGAGTGAATGTCTGTCTGCGCTCGTATGATAGTTCGTTGTCAATTGCACTTTAAAAGCTCGATTATGTTCACATTATTGTTTAGACTATGAAATGTAACAAAAAAGGCTGTGAGCAGTTCCGTCGTATTTATTAAATATTTTGGTATTTTCACTTTATTTCAAAGTGCACTTGTGCCATTTGAAAGATCTGTACATATGTTATAGTGGGACAGTCATATTGATATTACATTTTCTCTCATTACATGTATAATATATAAATATAGTTACTTTAACAGCCTCTTGTTAACTTTCTGAAAACTTTCACATATACATACTATTATTGTATCTTGTTACTGTTGCACAGTACAGTCACAAAAGGATAAAAGATAGATAATAATTGCTTATGTTTGGCCTAAAAATTGGAGATATCTACATCAACTGTCGAGAGAGAACGCTAGCCATTATAAACTTTATGTACCAGACTACTAAGTTCAATGTTCTAGCAGATGGTGCTAATTTAATGTAACAGAGGCTGTTAGTTCTTCGAATATTATGTGTACAGAAATGCAAAGTACTATACGATTAGGTGGCTATGATTATTGTATTACAATATTTGTTTATAAATAGGTGACTAGATAATAATTACAAATTTTATACAGAATTTAAAAAAAAACAAATTTGTAAAATAAAAATGCTTTTAATACAATCCTCTTTTCTTTCAAAAATAAATAAACAACAAATAAAATTCACTATACAAATCAAACATAAAAAAATGTATAAAGTACATAAACACCAATATTACTTCAAATCTTAAGTTACAAATAAGTTGTAAGTTAACAAATATTTCTTAGAAACACCTTAGTAAAGGAGGAGGCCTATTCTCCGTATGTTAGAACCATTAGTTAAGATCAACCTTCGTGTACCTTTTCTCGTCTAAGTATATCATTGAGCACTTCCTTTACAAATCACAAAGTAGACTGGATAAGCATTTTATCACAATACTTTTTTTAACTAAACAATAGAACTTAAAATGGAATGTCTCATTATATCGCACCTAAAAAATCAAGCAAGAAAATATCATTAAATACATTCCTTGCGATTTACAATTACCAAAAAAAAACACGCCCACAACTCATTAAAATTAAACATTGCATTTAAAAAATTGTTTTAGCTGCCAGAAAGAGGCTGCCTTACGGTACCACAGGTACCGGTACGGTCAAAAATTACCATTCTAATAAATGCAATGCAAATGTATTTAATATGAGTATTAATAGCGATTTTACTAGTCTGAGAGAACAAATAATTAACGGTTTTCAAAAAAAAACTTTAAAATGAAATGGGTTTTTTTGTTCTATGGTCACCGAAAACAGCTAGGACTGGAAAATATTAAAATGACGTCACACGCAAGTAAACTTCCGGTCAAAGTGACAGTACATTGTATCGTTTGACGTTTCAATGACAGCCAAGTGACGTCACATACAGTCTATGGATGAATGAATGAATGATGAATGAATATGGATATATCCAGATTAAGGGTGTATTCCGAATCAAACACCAGTACGCTGGCCAGTGGTAATAACGTCATGATTTCGACGCCATATTGACAACACTACTACTACACCAGTGCAATATGGCGTAAAATCATGACAAGATAAATACATAATAACATAATTATGCGAATCCAAGCGCACATTTAATAGTTTATAACAAAAACAAAATTACAAATCAAATAGCTGTCTTTACCTTTCAAGGTCCAGTCTACTTTATAAAGGAATTCAGCACCAAATAACGACTTACCTCACACTTAGAAGCCTCCCCCTTCGAAACTTCAGAACAACTCCATGACGGAAGCGGGTGAAGTGGCGTCACTCAAGTCTGTCCTTTGGTTTAAAATCTTTAGGGCTTCGCTTGGCTGTATATGCCGGATTCCTTGGCCGGTCAGATGTTCTATGGCGGTCGATGTTTGAGGCCGCTTCGCTAAAGCGGCGCGCAGTCTTCTAGCGTCGTCGTAATCTAAGTTTAGAAGCTTGCACGCTTCTAAAAGCCTGAAATGTATCGTCTTGAGAGTATTTGTGACAAATGAATAGTTAGTTTTCAACTCGGAACAAGAACTAAATTATACAAGTAATGCCGTTTGAGCGTACATTCCCATAGACAAAAGTTTCCAAAGACAGTATTGCCCAACCAAAAAGTATTATTGGCGTTGGCTAATGTCAAATACAACCTCATTTGACATTAGATCGTTATTTGATTAATCAAGGTATCGTGAAAGACATCAAGGTATCCACAAGGCATACAAAGCAACAAAGGTATCCAATTTGACGTTTGTATACATAGTGGTACGCCCGCTGTTCATAGCAACATATACCTAGTCAGGTCATAAATTCTGCCACATGTTTAATATAAAATAATTGGAACAAGTTTATTCATTATGTAACCATTTATATACCAAAATGAACTTAAGAAAACATAGATTCTTATGACAATAAAGTTTATTCAAAATGACCTCCGTGATTTTGAATACAGCCCTTCAATCTGCGCGGGCACTCGTCTATCGCAGCACGAACGAGGTCCATGTCAATATCGGCGGCTGCCTTAATCAAGGATGTCTTGAGTGACTCCAAATTGGGATGAGGCTTTGAGCACGCCTTTTCCTCCAAGTGTTGCCATATCTTGTAATCTAACGGACTCAAATCTGGACTGGAGGAGGGCCAGTTTTCGTGCCGGATGAAGTCGATTTCACGCGCCGCCAGCCAGTCTTGTGTGCTGTTCGCTCTATGAGCTGGCGCCGAATCTTGGTGGAATACCCAGTGCCTGTTATTGAACATGGTATGAGAAACAGGTTCCACAAGGTTCGTCAGGACTGTATTTTGATACACAACTGCTTTCGTTTTCACACCTTTCTCACAAAATGTACCTCTGTTAAGTCCCAATAAGAAACTCCCAACCACGGAGGAAAAACAAAGAGGAGCTGGCCTAAGCAACTGTGCACTGTGATTTTCAACTAGATCCTGACGTCATCATTGTGGGCGGGGCCTAAGTCAGTATGCTTTCAGCGTTCGTCAGGTGCACACTTAACGAGACTCGCATTATAAGTGTTTTTTGCGTTTTTAACAAGAAAAGGATGAAGTGTTGTGTTTTACTATGCCAAAGTTACTCAGACAGACGTTCTGATAATATGGATGGCATCACATTTCATTTGTAAGTAATTTTATACGTAATAAAATATATAAGTTCTAGAACATTCTCAGCTATCAGCGTTAAAATTCTACTACTTGACACCAGATGGCGACACTTTTAGGAAGAAAATACATAAGTTTACGTATAATTTTGCAGTAGTATATTGTAATAATCATACGTAAATACTGAAAACTGTTATACACTTATTCCTAAATAACTTTTAGTATCTAAAACAGTAATTTTATCTGTACGGGACGCCGGGCTGTCGCAGTAGCGGACAGTTACCGACTCGTACTGAGGGGTGGAGGAAGTTACACGCAGGAGTCTTGACTGTAGTGGACTGTAGTTTCGGCGAATAAAACCCCTGGTGTTCGGTATTGAAGAAATCGGTGGGCGCTGATAATGGATGGCCGGTGAGAGGAGGCTTCAGGTCCAGAGTGAACCGCTTGGTTGTTTCTTCCTGTTCCTTATGGTAGGAGCGCCTGTCGCTGAATGCATGTCGGAGCATGTTCCGATTCGAATTTTATATGCTAGGACTGAGCTGGCCAGCGATCCATTACCTCTCCCACGCTATACTTTATTTTTCATTTTTTTCAAAAATTACATTAGTGCGAGCTTAAAACTAATTGTACATACATCGGGCATACATTTAGGCATATTTTTAACATAGTTATGTGTCCGTAAACGTGATATTTTAGGTGTGGCGCGCAAAAAATAGGTCTCCGCAATATTTATACTTTCCCCCTCCATAGGGCTTCGCCCTGCCACGGGGCTTCGCTGCCCCACCCGCGCGCTCCGGGCGCGCCGGGTGGGGAGCGCAACATGTCTCAGAAAATGGTTCTATGCAAACAGGTTTTGTCTCCTACACGGTACATTTTTACACTTATTGATGTGATACCTATTTATTTACGTAGCCCTACGCGTTACCTATCTAATACAACAAGTTTCTTACAAGAATATCAACAAACGACAGCTCTACGGCCCTATAAAGTTTACAAATTAAAAAGTCTTAAAAAACCTACTTATATTCACTTAATGTCTAACTATCATATACCGTTTCACAGAAGAAGTAAAAACACACAAAATAACACCATTATTATAACAATTATACCTATATCCTATTGACTATTCGTAAAAAACTATTCCCGATATTTTCCTTAATTACGCTTAAACTACTAACACGATTCATACAAAACTTTGATATATTATTCCTATAACTACCTACTATCTAATAAGACATAAAATAAATCAATCAAAACATAAAACATACTATTATCGAAAACTATCAACTCAGGCAAAATCCTATAAGATGTGAGACAAGGACAACCTATTGTCTCCGTCCCTCCTATAGGTCGGAACTATCAGTATTCTGACTAGTTTCCCCGCGCCACCGCTTGGCGTCGTGGCGATCGTTTAGATAAAGTCTTATAAGATTATTGGAGAGAACGGGGCGGAATATCGCTCTGAACTATCAATTTTACAATGGTTTACTATGGGCAGAGCTATCTATTATTGCGATATCCGACTCATTCTAATAAGACAACAAGGGAATGATATTTTTAATGCGTATACAACCGATTCATGTGAAATTATAGATACATTTTTTACATTAATCTCATATTGTCGTAAGTTCATTTTCTCTCGCTTCGGTCGTCGCGTACATACTCCCGCCGTGCAGCGTCGGTCGACTCGTCGCTGCATCCATCTTCCGTGGGAGTGGCGGCCGATGCGAATATCACCAGTCGCTTGGTCGGTCTGCGTAGCACTCCTCCGGCTGTCTTCAGATCGACGACTCGTACTGTGCCGTCTCGCCCGGGAAAAGTGGCGATGACGACTCCCTTATGCCACGTGTTGCGTGGCAGGTTGCTGTCGGCGATGAGCACGATGTCCCCGATGGCGATGGTCTTCCCGGTCCCGTGGGGCTCCCGCCGGTGTTGCAGCTCGGGTAGGTACTCTCGTACCCAGCGCGCCCAGAAGTGGTCGGCGAGGCGCTGTGCTGCTCTCCAGTGCGGGCGGCCTATCAGGTCGCTCTCGTCGAACTCGCCCGGCAGTGGGACGCGCGCTGAACCTCCCAGCAGAAAGTGGTTGGGAGTGATGGCTTCGTCGTCTTCATGGTGCACGGACACGTGGGTGAGAGGCCGGCTGTTCACGGTGTATTCGGCCTCGGCGAGTAGCGTCGTAAGTACCTCTTCGGGCGGACTTCTTACTTGCAAAACCGCACTTAGCGCGATTTTGACGGACTTCACGAGGCGTTCCCACGCCCCGCCCATGAATGGTGCTCCCGGCGGTATGTACCTCCACCGGATACTGCGGATGCTTGCTTCTTCGCTCGTCGCCTGCTGCACTGCCTTCTTCATTTCGTTTTCTGCGCCGTGGAAGTTGGTCCCGTTGTCCGACCAAATTTCGGTAGGGCACCCGCGGCGCGCTATCATGCGCCGTAGTGCGTGTATGGCGGAGTCCGTCGATAGTGAGGCGGCCAACTCGAGGTGCACGGCTCTCGTAGTAAGACACGTGAAGAGCGCGACGTAGCGTTTTTCTTGACGCCTGCCCACGGTGACTGTCAACGGCCCGAAATAATCCAATCCGGTGTACGTGAATGGCCGTCGGTGATGAGCGAGGCGCGTCGGCGGCAAATCTCCGGTAGGTGGCGACGGTGGCGCCGCCCTCCTTATGCGGCAGTTTATGCAACTGCTTATTATTCGTTTCGTGACGGGTCGAATGCGTAAAATCCAATAGTGTTGTCTGCACTCGTTGACTGTAGTTTCCACCCCGGCGTGGAGAAGGCTTCTATGTGTGTGTTCTATCCACAGTTGGGTGGCTCGATGGTTCCCGTCGAGTATCGCCGGTGTCTTCTGAGTTTCGGTTACTCCCGCCGCTGCTTTGACCCGGCTTCGTAGGTACAACACGCCGTCGTTGACTATTAGCGAAAGTGGGCGGAGTCGACTGTTCATAGCGATGGTGGCGCCCCCTCGCAGTTGTTTCAACTCGTCTTGAAATGCGTCGTGTTGTATTACGCGAACTATTATTTTCTCTGCGCGTTCGATGTATCGGTCGGTTTTCGCTTGGCAGAGGTCGATGAACTGTAGTCCTTTTGCCGTAGTCCGAATTAACTTGTCCCAGCGCGAAAATCGAGTGACGTCCGGTGCAGCTTCGGATATTGACGGCGCTTTCTTCGTGCTTATGTGGTGCACGCGTTCTTCCCCGGTGACTTCGGTTGCGGTTGCGGTTTCGGCGGGCCATTCTTCTTGTTTGTTTCGTAGAAACGGAGGCCCGGTGAACCATCTGTGGTAGCCGTAGAAGTCGTGCGGTGATATTCTTGTGGCGTCGTCTGCTGTGTTGAGCTTCGTGGGCACCCATCGCCACTCGTTGATGGTGCTGAGTTCTTCGATGGCGGCTATGCGATGCGCGACGAATGGCTTGAATGAGCGCGATCCCGTTCGCACCCAAGACAATACTGTTTTGCTGTCTGTCCAAAATGTCTTCGATTCTGGTTTTCTTGAGTGCTCTTCTATCACGGTGGCGGCCATTCTTGCTCCCAGGACTGCGGCTTGTAGCTCGAGGCGCGGTATCGACGTGACTTTGAGTGGAGCCACGCGTGCTTTCGCCGTGATGAGTGACACGTCGACTTGACCTCCCGGTGGCTCGGCCCGCCAGTAGAGTGCGGCGGCGTACGTGGTGGCGCTGGCGTCCACGAAGATGTGCAGCTGAAGTGAAGTGGCTTCGCTGTATCCTATGTAGGCTCGTGGTACTTTGACGCCTCGTAGGTCCTTCATGTGTTGTAGCCAGGTCGTCCACTGCTCTGCGAGGTCGGTGTCGATTTTCTTGTCCCATTCTGTGCCGCGTCGCCAAATTTCTTGTATGATCT